GTGTCTGTATTAACCCCCCTCTCTCTCAGTGCAGTGTTAATGTACTGGAGTGTCCAGTCAGGGTGTCTGTATTAACCCCTCTCTCTCTCTGTGCAGTGTTAATGTACTGGAGTGTCCAGTCAGTGTGTCTGTATGAACCCCTCTCTCTCTCAGTTTTACTATGTGTCTTTCTGGTTCCCTGCCCTTCTCTGTCCCTGTGGTGTCTGACAGAGACTTGCACTGAATCAGGAAATGAGAGAAACGGGAGTTTCCCTGGATCAGCTGGCGTTAATTCTCTTCTCCCTCCTTCAGTCTCCTATTGGTTGTCTGCCTTTCGATTTCTCTCCTTTTCTCTCCTCCCATTCTCTCCCTGTGCTCTCCTGTCACAGAGGAGAGGGAGACAGGACAGGGAGAGAGAGAGGGAGACAGGACAGGGAGAGAGAGACAGGACTGTTAGACACCTTTCATCTTTGGGTGAAAAAGAGAATGGGTTTGAGTGTGTCAGTGTGGCTTTGTGGGAGTGTGTGAGGCTGTGTGTGTTTGTGTGTGAGAGACTGTGTACAGTATGCCAGTGGATGAGTGTGTGTGTGGCAGTGTGTTTGTGAGATTGTATGTGTGAGATTGAAATTGTGTGTCAGTGTGTGTGTGAGATTGTGTTTGTATCAGTGTGTGTGTGAAATTGAAATTGTGTGGCAGTGTGTGTGTGAGATTGTGTGTGTGTGAGATTGAAATTGTGTGGCTGTGTGTGTGTGTGAGATGGTGTGTGTGAGATTGAAATTGTCTGGCAGTGTGTGTTGAGATTGAAATTGTGTGAGATTGTGTGTGTGTGTGAGATTGAAATTGTGTGGCAGTGTGTGTGTGAGATGGTGTGTGTATCAGTGTGTTTGTGAGATTGTGTGTGTGAGATTGAAATTGTCTGGCAGTGTGTGTGTGAGATTGTGTGTGGCAGGGTGTGCGTGTGTGTGTGGGCAGTGACTCACAGAGTTCTGGGAACAGGCAGTGCTGTTTCACAGGAAGGGTGAGACCCTGACCTGGTCTCTTCCACAGCTCAGGAATTTTTTGAAGTTTTTTCTGTCTGCCTGTAGTATTCCTGTAGTTCCTGGAAGGAGTCCTCCTCTGCACTTAAAGGGATACAGACTCCTGCTTTCCTCTCCTCTCCCTGACAAAGGGAGTCTGAGTTTTCTGTGGAGGTTCTCCAGATACAGGCAGCAGGTCTCTCTGTGGTGATCCTGCGTGTACACTGGGCTCACAGACACATCTGTATCCTGCATAGAGACATCAGGGTAAGAGCACAGTGCAGTGCAGTAAATCACAGTGAGATCAGGGTTAGAGCACAGTGCAGTGCAGTAAATCACAGTGAAATCAGGGTAAAAGCACAGTACTGTGCAGTAAATCACAGTGAGATCAGGGTAAAACACAGAGGGGTGTGGTACAGTAGCGTAGATACCATACAGGGTTGAAGTCACGGAAGAGCCCAGTCAGACCAAGGTTTAAGGCAAGCTTGTTGAAACAGTGCAAGATGACCATTGAAAGTTACCAAAGGGCTGTGATTAATTAAAAGCCAAAATCTAATGCTTGTACTGACATTTAAAGAAAAAAGGGTATTTTTCTGCAGAACAGAAACCCCTTTCGCATGACTGGAGATCTACACAGTGTTGTTTCACAGCTTGCAGACCGCAGTTTGTGTGACACTTGTGGCTCACCACCTCCCCCTACAGTGCAGGAATGGTATAGCCCGCACTTTGGAAACGTAGTGCATGCACCCCCCTGTCCTAACGCAGTGGAACTTTCCTTTGACCCCACAGAGACCTGCCGCCCCCAGCACACCCCAGCGCTCGCTCTTCTCTGTCAGGCTGAGTGTCTGGCCAGAGCATCGGGAGGTCATGTCCCCAGCTCTGTCACACGCGGTTCTGCTTTGTTAGTGCCGTCTCTTATTTGTGCTCTGTGTTGTCACAATAGATTTGTCTGTTTCAGTGGTGCTTTTGTCATAAAACAGGACTGTAGCACGACTGGGTGTTACAGTACCAGCCGTAGGTGCACAGACTGTTGCAGGAGAAGGTGACAATAAAGTTTTTTCTGTAGCAAAGCGCAGGTTTAGCAGGAAAGGAATCTTCTCAGACACACAGATGCACGTCTGCGCGCACACACACACACACAGACTGACCCGCGTCCGCACAGACGCACAGTGATCAGCGCCGCTGTCTTTACGAGAAGTTGCACCAGTCTGCCAGCGTCCCACACACGTCACACAAACACACACAAGCCCCACCCCAGAGCAGTTAACAGGAAGCCCACTTCCAGGCACAGCGCTGGGAAACGGCACACCGAGCCAGAAACAAGC